GGTCCAAGGGAGCCCCGAGACGCTCCAAGATGCCTCCAAGAGGCCCCCCAAGACGGCTCGAAGAGGCAGATGTTATTGATTTTTAACTTGCTTTTGAAGTTTGTTTCGGGTTCTCGCCCTTCCGGGCCAATAACGGCCCAAAACGGCCCAAGAGGCTCCAAAAATCGCCCCAAGACGGCCCAAGAGGCCCCCAGAGGGCCCCAAAACGGCCCAAGAGGGGCCCAAGACGGACCCAGAGGAGCCCAGAACGGCCCAAGAGGGCCACAAGACGGCCCAAGAGGGCCCAGAGAGGCTCCCAAGAGGGCCCCAAGAGGCCCCCTAGTGCGAAAATGAAAGGTTTTGGGACAGCCCGAAACGCAATAGATCAGCAGCTAAGAGATTGTTGCCCCGACCAGGGCTCCAGGACTTTTAAAACACATAACATGACACGTTATGTTTTGCCGCGGCCGTTTGTTCACTCAAACGATATCAGAGGATCCACTTTTTGAGCCAGACAGCGATAACAAGTTATCAAATGTGCTCCAGTCTGCGACGGGGGTTCCCCTGATTTCAGCAAGCTGTGCGCGCGGTGCTGGACGCGCCGTTTCATATACGATCGACCGAGAAGGCTCGACAATCATTATCATTGACACTGGTAGTGCGGAGCTTGTGTTTCGAGACGGCCAATGCTAGTTCATTGGTGCAGTTTCCCAACGCTCTTTCATATCCAAAAGACTCGTTCTTGGCAGTCAGGCGCTTCATATTTGTTTGAGAACTCGTTCTCGACCACCACCTCATAAAGTTCACCGGCTTCACCGAGTTCACCGACCCCTTCAAGTTCACCACTTGCGACGACCCGTTCGGCACAATGTCGCAGGTTTCGGACGAGCGCAAAGATGGGCACGTGTGGCTCGAGAAAGACGGCATTCCTTGTTGAGACGCAGCGTCGGCAGAAGAATGGGGCGAACGAGTTCGGCTTGGATTTTTAGGCGCAGAGATGGCAGAGAAGAGAAATACTTTCATCGCGAAGGTCAAGAACAGTTTGACGGACAGGGCGTGGACGCGAAGTCACAAAGACCCGAAGACTTCGGCGGCAGATTTCAGTAAGTTTTTCAAGAAAAGCGAGACGCAAGCAGAGAAAGAGGCAGCGACAGAAGAAGCTCTAGACATCTTGATAAAGCGTGTGCGTTCACACTGCGAGAAGGTGGCGCCATTGCAGAATCACAAGGCTTTTCTGGGTTATTTCAAGCGCGGACATCGTCGGTCCAACGAGCCGATAAAAGGATTTCATTCAAAGGAAAACGGGCTCCTACGAGAAGCTCAAGTATTTGACCGGCGGCAGCGCGCAGGTTTCATAAGATTTGCGGACGTTTTTCTTGCTGGACATGCGCGACATCACCGAGACCCAGCACAACGCGTTCCTGGGCCAGGCCCAGAACGAGTGCGATTGGGACGCGATTTGAGAGGTGCTCGAGATTCACCTCGACGGCATCGACGCTCGTAGATCGCAGCAGCGACAACACGGTGGACGACGAGATGGAGGGCGCAAGTTCAGGTGGAACTCAGCCTACCCCGCAGACCCCGAGGACGACGAAGGTGACGAGGACGACCCTGAGGGAGAAGAAGATAGTGGTGGAGACGAGGACGGAGAGGAGATGGAAGTTTTGTCCGCCGAAGTAGAGGAGCTCGAGCGGGCCATGGCCATCGTGGACATCAACGACCTCAGCGAGGAAGAGGTGCAGGTGTTCGCGACGGAGGTTCGAAGGCTTGGTGGAGCTATCGCGGCAAAAGGACGTGGACGTGGAAAAGGCAGTGAGAGCTCTACGGGCTCCAACTGCACCCGGCAACGCCAATTCATGAAGGACGGCAAAACGAATCGTGGATTTCGGCTGGGCAAAACCTACATCGACTTTGACAGGAAGATCAGCTTCGGCTCGAAGGAGCTCCAGGATAAGCCGGGGGCTTTCCAGAAGGTAAGCAAGTGTGGAGCGCGCGGCGAAGGAGGACACTGGGCTGGAGACCCAGAGTGCAGCAAAACCAAGAAGGCCACCGGGCCTAAGGCTTGAGCGGCAGCAGCTGGACGAGGCAAAGGTGGACGCGCTGGAGGTTTTCTGGCGCGCGCCGGGCTGGCTGCAGCCATGCTGGCGACAGGAGTCGGCAGACCCACCGAGGTCTACATGATCGAGCCGACACATAACCACACCGACGAGGCGATCAACCCGATCAACCAGCTCAACGAGGAAATGATCGACACGATGGCGGCAGATCAGGTGGCACCTCCTGGCTACATCGTCTCAGACACGGCAGCCTTGGCACCATGCGGCGGAAATCGAGCGACCGACAGCCATCTTGAGAAGTTCGATCTGGCTGACATCCAGACGCCCGCTCAGACGATCTTCAAGGGCATCAACACTTCGGCGCCCATCAAGGCCAAAAGTGCACAGGCAGTACCGAGCGGCATCCAGGGACGAGACTGCACGCTCAACTTCGAGAGGCTACCAGACTCGGACGCCCCCATGCTCATGAGTTTGGATCAGATGGGCGCCCTCGATGCAGTCATCAAGGTGAAGAGCGACCAGGTTATATATTCAAGAAGATATCCGACCAGCCCGTGAAGATCGCGCGCTCGCGGAAGAACCACCTGATGATCAACATCACCGATTTCCCGAAGGAGCCAACGCAGATCGAGGCACCGACGATCAGCACAAAGCCGCTGGACGCATGGGCGGCCGAGGAGGAGGATCAGTCGCAGTATGTGACGGCAGCCATCGAGAAGATCACGACCGCGGTGGGCGACACCCGCATCATGACCAAGTCCCGGAAGATGCAGGTGGGCGCCTGGATCGCAGATCATGCGCGAGAGCAGCGGGCGACCTGGACCGTACTACGCAAGGATCAACATCGGCTGTTTGTCCCTGGGACGGTGGTGAAGGAGATGCACGGCGGAGTGCAATGTCACGAAGCTCGCGGACAGCTGTGGACGCAAGACTGGCAAGTGCAAGGACTTACGCACCACAGGCGACGATTTGCTACTGCCAAGCGTTCAAGCAGCTACGATGCGAGAGATCGAGGGGGAGGGCCCGCACCTCACGCTCGCGCCCTTCCCGCGCGACGGCCTCTCGTACATTAACAACTTCTACCCGGAGAAGGAGCGGCGCAGACGCCGCGCGAAAGCACTCGCACAAGTGCGACTTGCCCTACAGATCGTCAAGCACCGACTGGCACATGGGCCACATGTTCTGCTGGAGAAACCTCTGTGCTCTCAAGTGTGAAACCTCATCAAGGACGAGCTCCCACTGGAGTTGATATGGGTTCGGTGCGATCAATGTGCTTTCGATATACGAGATGATCGTGGAAATGTGCTTCAAAAGCCAACGAGGTTTGTAACGACAGCAGTGGCATTGGCATATGCACTGGAGGTTCGGTGTACAAGAGATCACGGACATGGTGAAGTTCAAGGCCGAGGCGGTAAGTCTCGTGATTTTGCGGTCTGGACCCTGGACATGGCAGAAAGAATCCTCGAGGGCACGAAGCAGCAGTGCGAGTTGGAGAAGCTTCTGGGTGGCGACATCATCCTGGGAATTCCAAACGCCACTGACGCATGCCCCGCTACAGGCTTCACGTCAAGCTCAGGCCTCATCATGGGCTCAGACGCGGAGACATACCAACAATGGCAGCAAGTACCAGCGGCACTCAAGGCGGCGATCAAGAAGTTACACGTTCAGTTTTCACATGCACTACGAGTGGAAGATCTGGCCCGACATATTCAAGCAGGCGGTGGATCACCGGCGGCGGCTTCGGCGGCGAAGCTATTCAAGTGCGAGCTGTGCGACTCTCAGCAGCGACCGCCAGCGCATCCAATCGCAAGCTTACCGAAGTGGACCAAGTTCAACCAATGCCTTGGTATGGACATCGCCTGCGTGCCCGACCTGAACGGCAACATGCACGTCTACTTGCTGATGCTGGACCTGGTTAGAAACGGCTTCCACATCGCAAAATGCTCACGAAAATCAACATGTGATTTCGTTTTGGCCCCCCCCCCCAAACACCGAGGTCTGTGGCCGCCAGCCGAGCTTCTCTGCCCCGCCCCCCCCATTCGCCCTCTGCTCAGGCACGAGGTGAGGGGGAATGGGATAATAGGAGGAGGGTGATGAGGAGGAGGAGGAGGAGGAGGGGACGGGAGAAGGAGAGGGAGGAGGAGGAGGAGGAGGAGAAGAAGAAAGAGGAGGAGGAGGAGGAGGACGAGGGGGAGGAGGAGGATGAGGAGGAAGAGGAGGGCGAGGAGGAGGAGGAGAAAGAGGAGGGTAAGAGGGATGAGACTGACCAGGATGATAATGATGATGCTGGTGATGATGATGACGATGATGATGATGATGATGAGGAGGAGGAGGAGGAGGAGGAGGAGGATGATGATGATGATGGCGATGATGGCGATGATGGTGATGATAATGATGATAATGATGATGATGATGATGATGATGATGATGATGATGATGATGATGAGGAGGAGGAGGAGGAGGAGGAGGAGGAGGACGAAGATGAGGAGGAGGAAGAGTAGGAGCAGAGGGAAGAGGATGAGGAGGATGAGGAGGAGAAGGAGGAGGAGGAGGGGGATGAGGAGGAGGAGGACGAGGAGGAGGAGGATCAGCAGCAGCAGCAGTAGCAGGAGGAGAGGTGCGAGGTGATTGGAAAGTTGAAGCTGGGGAAGGAGGATGAGGACGAATCTGATTGCGAGAAGCCGAGGGGCAGAATGAGGATGATGAGGGTGAGGAGGATGAGGATGATGATGGGGATGCGGATTTTGAGGAGGAGGACGAGGAGGAGGAGGATGAGGAGGAGGAGGAGGGTCAGGGTGAAGGGTAGGACGAGGAGGAGGAGGAGGAGGGGGACGATGAGGGTGAGCGTGGAGAGATGGATGTGGGATCTTCCCTTATTCATCTCCTCACGCTTACCCTCATCTGCATTGGCTGATGCTCGGCTGGCGTGCCCGTGGCGATGCGCATTGCGCGGGCGTGCTCGCCATGCAGGGCAAGGCGCTGCAGGTGGTGACGATGACGCGCGGCCAGAGCATGCTGGCGAGGCTCAGGACGAGCCCCACGGGGCCCAAGGACGCCACAGAGTACTTGGAGAAGTACTCCAAGTCGGAGAAGCACCGCGACGTGCCAGCGGGCTTCTGGAAGGAGTTCGAGGCCATCGCGGCGGAGCTCCGCCCAGGCCAGGTGGGAGACGCCATCGCCGATGGCGAGTCGGTGGCCAAGCCCGCTGCTGGTCAGGCAAACGGTGGCGGCGGTGGCGGTGGCAAGCGCAGCGGCAGCGTCGCGCCGAGCAGCTTCCACGCGCCCGACGTGAAGAAGCAGGCGGTGGGCGCGGCGGCCACCACGGAGAGCAAGGTGACGGCGGTGAAGGCGGGTGCGCTTTCGGAGGCGGCCGCCTCGAGCAAGGCGGGCGCGCCCAAGCGCGGCGCTGCAAGCGCTGGCGGGGCGAAGCCCGCGGGCCTCAAGCGCGCCAGGCGTTAGAGGCCCTTTTTCTTTCGCGGGCCTCCTTGAGCCACTAGGGGGCAACATGTGGGGGGCACCTGAGAGAAGACTGCACGCACATTCACACGCATGTGAAATTAACAGGGCTCATTCGGACACGCCTTAGCACACACTCACACACACATGCACGCACGCGCGCACCGTCTACGCCTAAGAACCACCCTACAACCCGATAGCTAGATTACATTGCACCTAGACACACACACCTAAACAAACACACGTGTACTGGGAGGTGGCTCGGGGGGGCCCTTTTAGCTTTGAAGTCCCGAGGGTCGAGTGGGGCTCTCTCGGGGTGCTGGCCTCGAAGCAGGCCCACTGCTCTGCGAGTGGGCGCGGGCACTGCAGCGGTTGCGCTGCGGTGCGACGGCCGAGCTGGAAGAGAGAGCGGGCGATCCTCGCCCGAGGACTGACATGGCGCCATCCTCCTTGTCGCCGACGTCATCGTCATCTCTCTTTTCGCCCCAGCCGATTGCCATCGTTGCTCCCGCCTCTTGCTCCTCAGTTCCCTTCCTCTGCTCTCTCATCCAGCTTTCCTCTCATCAGGCCCCTGCCGCCTTCTCATGTTCGCGTTCTCTTCATTCTTGCTGCTGCCTGGAGGTTATCTGGGGAGGGGAGGAATGGGAGAAGGAAGAGGACTAGGAGGAGGACGAGGAGAGGAGGGAAGAAAGATGCGGAAGAGGACGAGGATAGGGAGGAAGTGAGAGGAGGAAGTGAGAGGAGGAAAAAAAAAAAAGTAAAAAAATAAAAGGAGAGAAAAAAAAAGAAGGGGGGAGAAAAAAGAAAGGAAAAAGAAAAAAAAAGGGAGGAGAGGGAAAAAAATGATTGAAGTAAAAAAATAGGTGAAAGTATAAATAAAAGAAATAATAAAAAAGAAAGTGACTAGAGAAGAAATAAAAGTAAAAAAAAAAAAAACAGAAAGACTAAAAAATTACTAGAATAAAAGAAAGAAAGAGAAAATAAAACACAGGAATGGAAGAATTCAGGTGCTGTCTCTCATAAAAAAGAAAAAGAAATAGAAAAGCAAAAATTATAAAAAGAATAAAAAGAGATAAATAAAAAGGGAGGAGAAGAGGAGGACCACGGATGATGCGTAGCAGACGACCGCACTTGGACCAATGAGTTATTTTCCAACAACGGTTAAGGACCCTTTGGGGGCTTACGCGTGGGGGTATAACTGGCCGTGGTCGGCAAATCAGGCAATGGTCTCCAGATCGGGTCGCAAGGCCAAAGTTGCCTCACTTTTTTATCGTTTCGGGATAAATTAAGAACCAAGTTTCGCCAGAGAGTATCTTCGCCAAGTGTGTTGGCGACTAGAGCGTCGCCACCAACCTTCGTCGCCCAAAGTCTTGACTTCTAGAGTGTCGCCGCCTCTCGTCTTGACTCGCAGGGTTGCCTACCAGAGTGTAAGCCCCAAGCGTCTTGACGCAATGCCCCCCCTGCAGTTCTGACCCCCGCGGCAGACTCAAATCGTCGCCGTCGTCGTCGCCGCCGCCGCCGCCGCCGTCGTCGCCGCCGTCGCCGCCACCGTCGCCGTCGTCGTCGCCGCCGTCGTCGCCGTCGTCGTTGCCGTCGCCGTCGCCGTCGCCGTCGCCGCCGCCGTCGCCGCCGCCGTCGTCGTCGTCGTCTGCTTCGCCAGGATGGAGGGGAGGAGGCGGGGCCCGCTGAGAACCACTCCCAGCCTTCGTCCGCCTTTTCCCGCCGGAAGATGGCAGGCCCCGTGACGTCTGGGGGGCTGTACACGTTCGGGTGGCGCTGCCGGCGCATGTCGACGTACTCTATGTGCTCCGTGTGCTGGGTTTCCTGCGTATTCGCGTACTGCTGGAACTTCTTGGCCAGCGAAGCGTCGTACACGACTTCCTTCCACTCGCACTTGTAGGTGCAGTGGGCGTGCTCCAGGAGTGCCTCCAACTCTGAACATATGCCAAGCTTGTCTCCGATGACGACCTGCTTCAAGTACTCGATGCCTCCCGGGAGCTCCTCAAGCCAGGGGGCGGTCCGCTGCAAGTGCTTCGCAGTGGAGATGTAGAACATCAGGGTGCGGTCGATGTACTTGATGCACTCCTGAGGATACGGAGGAGGATGAGGGGCAGGAGGAGGACGGGGAGAGGTTTGATGAGGTGGAAAAAGAGGAGGGATCCTCCTCGCTGAGGTCCGTGCCCAGCAGAGCCGCGTGCACAGGCTTCGCACCCCCGTTGCCGCAGACGTAGAGGTTGTACCCCTTCTGAGTGGCGATGAGCCCGACGTCCTTGCCCTGGGCCTCGGCGCACTCCCGGAGGCAGCCGACGACGACGTCGACGACGACGACGACGACGACGGCGACAACGACGACGATCGACGACGATCGACGACGACGACGACGACTTCGACGACGACGACGACGACGACGACGATCGAAAACGACGACGATCGACGACGACGACGACGACGATGCCCTGGGCCTCGGCGCACTCCCGGAGGCAGCCAGACACTCCCATCTTCATCTTGTGCGGAGAGCGGATGCCCTTGTACCGGTTCTCAAGGATCACGGCCATGGTCACGGAGTCTTGCTGGCCGTAGCGGCACCACGTAGACCCCACGCAGCTCTTCACGGTCCGCAGCGACTTGCCATAGGCCTGCCCCGACTCCATGCCCGCGTCGACGAGCTCCTTCCAGATGCTAGGAAGCTGGTGTCTCTCGGCCCCGAACATGCCCAGGCGCTGTGCGCCAGTGATCTTCGTCCACAGGCCGTACTTCTTGGCGATTCTGGCGAAGTCCTCGAGCTCTTGCGGGGAGATGTCACCGCCTGGGCAACGCGGAATTCGCTGTCCCCTCGGGGTACGCTCGGCGTGCGAGATGTTGCCCCTCCCCCGGGAGACCGGAATCTGCATTTGGGAGAGCCAGGTGGTGTCAGTTACGTGGTGTGAGCTTTGCGATGCAAGCTATGCGGTGCAAGCTATGCGATGTAGGCTGTGCGGAGTGGGCTCTGTGGTGTAGGCTATTTTCCTTCTCCCCCCCCGCCAAGATGACGACCACCACGCAATAGAGAGAGCTACATTTGCATAAATAAAAATGTCCGGGCATCCCCGGGGCATACACTTGCATAAAGTGTCCGGGCATTCCCGGGCCATACACTTGCATAGAAGTGTCCGGGCATCCCTGGGGGTTGCGGCGCCGCTGGGTCGCGCCGCGGGTGGGTCGCGGGTGGGTCGCGGCGCCGGGTGGGTCACAAGAGAGTCGCGGCGCGTGTGGGTCGTGGGCGGGTCGCGTCGCGGGTGGGTTGCGGCGCCGATGGGTCGCGGCGCGGGTGGGTCGCGGCGCAGGCTGGTCGGAAGGCCGATGGGTCGCGGGCGGGTCGCGAGGCGGGTGGGTCGCGGGCGCCGCGCCGGCCCGCCCGCCCCCTCACTCTTATCCGCAATTGCTGGGTGCTACATATAAGTGACTGGGGTAGTTGGAGCAGTGAAGTGTGGTCAGCGCGGCTGTTTGGCTCAAGTATCGATCGTTAAGCGCGCCTTGCCTTGCGGTCAAAAGGAAGCTGCCACGCTAAATCCTCCCGTGGATTTTGCATGGTAGCGGAGCGAGGTCAGCCATGGCGGTACCCGGATCAGCAGCGTTCGCTGCTCAAGAAGTACCATGTGACCTACCACTGGAGGTTCAACCTAGACCCGGGGAGGTTTACAGTGCTGCGTGCGGGAGCATTACGGAGCGGAGACTTCAGTTGAATATGTCAGAACAGCGTTACGCGCAAGCAACGAAGACATCAGCAATTTCCTGGGTGAACGAACCACTGACGAAATGAGGCAGCCCAACTCCAGGGAGGCCTTCCAGATGTTACAAATGGCCGAGAAGATGAAAGCATTAATGCTGAGCTTCGCGGACAGATCCATGGTCATAGGGCGGGACGCGCGTTCGCTAGTTGATCGAGTGGCGACCCTTGAGGGTCAAACAGATGTGCCGAGCACCACCCTCACAAAGCTGACCAAACTTAATGAGGCGATCAAGGGAAACAATAACCGAGGAGGAGGAGACGGCAAACCGGTCAGCGAGCTTAAGGCCCTTCAAAACCTGAAGATGTTCACGGGTGACAGGGTCAAGATCCTTGAGTTGAACGACCGATTATTAAACGCGCTGGGGCAACTCAAGACTGCATACCGAAAGGCCGTGAAGTTCCTGAGCAAGAGGCTCGAGTCCCTTGACGGGGTTATACCAGGAGACGACGAGGAGGACACTCTAAAGGTCATCAACGCGAGATTGGCGTAAACAGAATATGAGAACGCCACCGCGCTACGACAGCAGGACAGCGACGACAAAGGTGAGCACGAGCTCGCTGAGGATGATTTCGAGCGACTTGATGAGGACTTCTGGTGCGTGCTTACTGAGAAACTCGAGGTGCCGAACCGAGGAGGTGAGCTCAAGGGGTTAAGAGATGGCGAGGGAGTGGCGGCCTACCAAGAGGTTGACAAGTGGTACTCCGCCGTCACGGGGGCCACCCTCTCGCCAAAGATGACGCCGGCCATGGCCCCCGAGAAGCCCAAGCGAGTCACGGAGACGGCCATCAAACTCGAGGAGTGAATGGACTGCCCTAGGATCCGGCTGCATTTGACACGCGGGTGGGAACCCCAGGGGCCCACAGGGAGTCCACTTTTCATTGATAGCCTTGAATGCGTTCTTCCGGCGCGCGCGTCCAAGATGCCCAACACGACTTCCAGGACGGCCCAAGCATGCTATCGCTGGACGCGATAAGTAAATGGCTTCCGCATTTGAATGCGGAACGAAAATCGGATGTCAATCATATGTTGCTCCCGTCCTGCTGTCTTCTGGCCTCCTACCCTGCGGGGAGGGAAGATGAGGATAGGAGGCCAGAAGACACCTGGACTGGAACAACATATGGTTGCCATCCAAGCGGAACGGAATTCGGATACATGAGTTTGGCCTCTCCTGGCCTTCTTAGTAAATAATCATATTGAGGCCCTTTTAGACAATCTTCGGGCCCTCCTGGGCAG